CACTGAAAGTATGGAAGCACTTCGGGATTAGAACACTCGGGCAGTATCACGACTTGTATTTAAGAACTGATGTTTTACTACTGACCGATGTATTTGAAAACTTTAGAGACTTGTGTATGGAATACTACGGTTTAGACCCCGCTCATTATTATACGTTGCCAAATTTCGCATGGGACGCGATGCTTCTAAAAACTGGTGTTGAAATAGAACAATTGCATGACCAAGAAATGTTTGAGATGGTTGAAAAGGGAATGAGAGGAGGATGTGTCAAGTCAGTCATAAATTAGCGGTGGCAAATAATAAGTATATGGGGGAAGCATATGATGAGAACAAGCCATCAAATTATATTAGCTACTTGGATGCTAATAACTTGTATGGTTTAGCAATGTCCCAGAAATTACCGCTAAAAAATATCAAGTGGGCAAAGAAAACGCCCAGTGTTGAAAAATGGAATGAAAACGATGAGTTCGGTTATATTATGGAAGTTGATTTGGAATATCCCGAAACATTGCACGACTTCCACTCTGACTATCCACTAGCGCCTGAAATAATGAATGTAAATGTTAGTATGCTTTCTGATTATCAAAAGCAAGTCTACAAAATATATTATGATGGCAAAAATCCCAAGGATGAGAAAACAAGTAAGTTAATATTAAATCTAAAGGATAAAGAAAAATATGTGGTTCATATCAAGACTTTACAGTATTATTTGAAAATGGGAATGAAAATGACAAAAGTCCATAGGATAATAAAATTTCAACAGAGGGCATGGTTGAAACCGTGGATTGATTTTAACACTGGTAAAAGGAAAGAAGCCAAAAGCGATTTTGAGAAAGATTTATTCAAATTAATGAATAATTCTGTGTATGGAAAAACTATGGAAGACAAACGAAATCATATGGACTTTGAATTAGTTGATAATGAAGTTAGATACGAAAAATGTGTTAATAATCCAACATTCAAAAATAGATTTATTATTAATGAAAACCTTGTAGGAGTTGAAAAAACTAAAGCGAAGCTGAAACTGGACAAACCGATTTTCTTAGGAATGACAATCCTTGACATCAGTAAATTACATATGTATCAGTTCTACTATGATGTTCTTAAGAAGAAATACAATGAAAACATCAAACTGGTTTATACTGATACTGACAGTTATGTAATTCAAACATTCACTGAGGACATCTACAAGGACTTCAAAGAATTAAACCAATATATGGACTTTAGCGATTATCCACCTGAACACCCCTGCCATGACAAAACAAATAAGAAAAAACTCGGTTATTTCAAGGATGAGTGCAACGGTCAAACAATAACACAATTCATAGGGTTAAAGCCTAAATCGTATGCTTTTACAATACACGGTGAAGAAGAAGAACAAAAGAAATCAAAAGGTGTAGTGAAACACAAGGTGAAGAAAGAACTGACTTACCAAAACTACCACGAAGCATTATTTCAAAACAAAAAGCATGAAATAACATATAATTTTATTCGTAGTCGCAACCATCAATTATTTTCAATGTCTCAAGTCAAGCAATCACTCAGTAATTATGAAAATAAAAGGTTTTACATTGATGCTTTCAATTCACTGCCTTATGGACATTATAAACTGCGTTAAAGAAAAGATAACTAAGGTTATTAATGGATAGCAGTAAATATAAAAACGCAAAGATTTACAAAATAACAGATGTTGGTTATAATAAGTGCTACATCGGAAGCACCTGTGAAAGCTTGAGCCAAAGAATGGCAAGACATAGACAAAATTATAACAAGGCAGAACAATGGAATAATAAAACAAACTGTCGTTTGTTGTTTGATGAATATGGAATGGACAACTGTAAGATTGAATTATTAGAAGACTACCCATGTGAAAACAGAGAACAGTTAATGAAAAGAGAAGGTTATTACATTCAAAATAATGATTGTGTGAATAGATGTGTGGCAGGTAGAACAATTAATGAGTGGAAGGAAGACAATAAGGAACACTATCAAAATATGAGGAAGGAATACGCAGAAAACAACAAAGAACATATATGTAATAAAAGTAGGGAGCACTACCACCAAAACAAAGAAACAATATTGGAAAAACGAAAAGAACCTATTGAATGTGAATGTGGTGGTGTTTTCAGGAAATGTGATATAAGAAGACACGAGAGAACTGAAAAACATCAACGATATGTATGTGAAAATATTAATATCTAAATAGTTCTAATAATATATGCACTTATTAGAACTATTTAGTGGTACTTCTTCAGTTGGTAAAGTAGCAAAGTCGCTCGGTTATAATGTTATATCATTGGATTTGAAAACGGTGGGTAAACTCCCCAATTAAGGGGGGCGAACTCCCCAATTAAGGGGGGCGAACTCCCCAATTAAGGGGGGCGAACTCCCCAATTAAGGGGGGCGAACTCCCCAATTAAGGGGGGCGAACTCCCCAATTAAGGGGGGCGAACTCCCCAATTAAGGGGGGCGAACTCCCCAATTAAGGGGGGCGAACTCCCCAATTAAGGGGGGCGAACTCCCCAATTAAGGGGAGAATGGCTCAAGTAACAAGGTCTGGCTCACACAACACAGTCAGGCTCACACAACACAGTCAGGCTCACACAGCAAGGTTTGGCTCACACAGTAAGGTCTGGCTCGCACAGCAAGGTCTGGCTCACACAGACATTTAAATTAAACCTGAAACCCAGACCAGCTGACCAGCAACCCCCTAGTCAAAACTACTTAAAGAAAAAATAGCATAACATATTAAGAGAAAAATGAACTATGATGAAATCAACAGTTATATTAATAAGAAATGCTATGATTGTTGCCACTTCAAAAAAGAAAATATGGAATTATACAAATTGAATTTACCTAATGGAATAGTAAATAATATTACTGATTATGCTCTGAGTGAAGAAGATGTATGTAGAACTTGTAGAAGATGGAGACGATATCAAAATATGATAGAAAATTTTTGGAGATTAAAAAAATAGATGAAAGAAATGTTGAAGATGACATTTTGATATTTTTAACTGTGTATGAAATACCACCTCATAGTTATGTTAGAGCATTTCTCAAAATCAGTAAGAAAATATGACATGATTGATGATATATTATGGATGTTGGGTTATAGTCAAGAGAAAGGAGAAGATGTTAAAGAAAATATCAAATTATTTATTGAAAGTAAAAAGTTTAATGTTCAAAATACAGTGAGAGATATTAATATTATTTTTAAAATGGTGTATGAAAGAAGTAAGACAAATCAATTAAATTATTATCCTGTATTGGGATTATAATCATACTATAATAATAACATGTAAAATCTTATATGTTATAATTATACTGAACGTTTAACCTATAAATGAAAATTAATGAGAAACATACTAACAAAACAAATGCACCGCCAACACCCCAGAACTTGATAACTACTAAAAGGGCTACCTCCTTCAAATGAAAAAAATGTTTGCCCCCAGCCCAACAATGAACAAGGGGGGCAATTACCCAAATGATTACCTTAACGAAAACGATAAATAAGCTCCCTAAAAACCCTCTTTTCAAAACGAATAAGGGGGAACATAGATTTGAGATGAACATAAAAACCAGAACAGGCAACCATCAACAGACCACCCCCCAGGCCCCCTACTTTCTCCATTTTTTGGGGGAGGGGGCGGGGGTGGGGTGGTGCATCCAACATGTGTTTTTTACCGGGTATGTTACTTCGAATGGGTATTCTTGAAAAAGAAACGCCCACATGTCCAGCTTATGATCATCACTCCTCTCCAGTCAGGCTCACTTTACGTTGATACCCAACATGCGACGCAAGCGCCAGAAGGGGCAGCTTATTGGGACATGGCGCCATCTCGTTTCACCCTCAGTTGAGTTGCAACCACTCCTTCGAAGGTGCAAAGGCAAGCCCTCCAAGGGGGTGGCTTCTTTGAAGGGACCCTGTTTGCTTGGTCGGTTTTCAGGGAAAGTACCCTCCGAATTCACATGGAACCTGACGTTCGGGGGGGGTCCTGGAAGACCATGTTCCTCTGAAATGAACCTCCTGTCAGGCTCCATGTTGATTGGTGGGAGGGTATAGAATGTGAAGCGTTGATCCCCCAAATTTGAGGGCGAAGCGCCAAAAAGGACGCACACCCAATGCATGTGGTGAACACCCGCACAACTCGTATACAAATTCCCATCGACTGCCTGTCCCCAATCAAGATTCATGCCCAACTGAGGTTGCTTCTGGTCGATTTAAAAACCCGGGAAGCATGGGCCTAATTGTCCCATGCCCATGTGAATGGGCAAAACCCTGCACCAATTGGATGGATGAACCCCTACTAAAGACAAATAAACTAACAATCCCAGCTGGCGCGAAATTTTTAAATGGATTTTGTCCATCCACGGCATCTCCGGAAACCGCATATGTTGACTGAAGGCGTTCGCTTCTCCACTTCTTTTCCTCGGGCGGAAAACAAGAAACGGTTGAAGGGTCACCAAAGAGACGTCTCCTGGCGTAGCCCAAGCTGCGTGAAGCCCTTGTATACAACAAAGGCCCCAGCTTCCGAAGTCGTGCGATGGCATCCATCAACTGGATGCCCCGTAGCTTGAGCAACACTGGATGCCCCGTGACTCATAAAGTATTCAGAATCTCTTCGTCCCCGCCATCATCTCGTGGCGACCGAGACGAGATTGCAGAATCATGCTTCCAAAGTTGTGGCGATGTCTTGAACAATCAGCCTCATTGTACCCACTGCGCGGTGGGACAATCTGGCAAGCCCTACCGGGACTTCGTAACAACTTGCTGGTGCTCAGTAGGGAATGAGGGAATAACCTCTGTGAACCATCATGCTTGTGGTTTCCTTTAAGGGGACCCTTGGGGTTCACTCCATTTCTCATTCCCTACCTATCTCGCCAGCAAGACAAGTCAATTCTAGCGGTTGATTCCCCATTCTTTTCAACCATCTTCAAAAACAGGATCTGTTTCCCCTGGGTGTTTGATGGTTTCCTGAAAAGATTAGGATCCCTGGAAAGAATGGAATTGGAAGGTGCCCCAAGAACCACCCAAAAAGGGCGCCTTTCAAAAACCTTTTTGGTAGGATTCCTTGAATTTGTTTGGGAGGAATCGTCGAATTCCGTTAAAGGTACCTCTAAATGCGATGAATTCCTCACAATGCCACCTCCACTAAGTCGGAGCGAAACTCCGCCATCAGCGCACCGAGCGCCGGGGAGGATATCCGCGGCTCCGGCGCCGGCGCGCTCAGAAGCCGCCTAGGGCGAAACATTAAAGCGCTAGGGTTCCGCAGGTTTTAGTCTTTGGCTCCATTTTTCATGGTGTCTTTTTTCTGGGCTGCCCTCAGATCCTTTGCTAAAGGTTTGACTTGTAGTGGATGAACTGGAAACTATCCCCACCTAGATAGCCAAGTTGCTGTTTTTGTTCAGTCACTGTTGCTGGCTTTTGGGGTAAAGTGCATGGAAAAAATACCGCAACTCGCGATCCAGGTAGACCCACAAAAAAAAAAAAAAGCTAAGGGGATGGCCGGGAGCCGAGTTTTCAGCCACCGCCTCATCTCTTTGGAGACCGCGAGGTCTGCGGCCCGATGGCCCCGGTGGCTCCGGATCTCCACGTCGGCGCTGGCCTGGATGGGCGAAGCCGACTCACTGACCAAAACCGAAACCCCCTCCGAGGCCAATGATTGCAAGCCTACCCTCCCACCAACTAACATGGAAGTGTCAAAAGGCCCTTTCCAAGTGGAAAGTAGTCTTTCTACAGGGGTCTCTGCACTTCCATGCTAGCTGGTGGGAGGGACCCTCTTTTTGGATCTGCGAGCCTCGAGCAGGAACGCTGCAAGCTCCTGAGAGTCGTACAACGCGCAGAATCCCAGCGCTGTGGTGCTGAGCTCGCTGAGGTCTCGTACCACAGTTGGAATGGCTCCTCTGCTGCAGAAAGCAAACGCCCTGCACGTCAGCTCCAGCATGCGGTGAAGGCCTTTGGGCTCACATGTTTGGTTGATATCGGCCTGATGGTCCAACAACGCCTGCGCTTGCCCCAGGACCTCGCATCCATCGGCGCTCGCGACGGCCAACATGACCAGCGGCGGAAGGCTCCCTCTCCCGGCATTGGGGTCGGCGCGGAGCTCCAGCAGTTTCCGAAGCGTCGCCACCGAAGCACCTTCACCGCAAAAGATGTGGATCGGCTTCATCCTGGATCGGCTCTAGAACCAAATGAAAAACAATAAGCAGAGATGAGTTTGTTTCCTGAGTTGCTCTAGAACTAAATGTAAAACAATAAGCAGAGATCAAATTGTTTAGCATTCGACACGCAGGACGTTGAAACAACACCAACATGTCAAACATAGTCTTTGTGGGCAGCTGAGACACCCTTCTAGTATGCTGCATCTGCCGTTCACGTCAGCCCTGTGCTGAACCAGCAGCTCGATTGCTTTGGCGGATTTACAGCATGCCAGTGGCGTGTGAGACCAAGGCGGTGAGTAGTTGGGGTTTGCACGCAGGTCCAGTAGAGTCTCGATGAGCTCCAGGTTCTGAGAAGCAAAACTTGCGGCCAAATGGAGAGGTCGGAAGCCACGCAGCACGCCCAGCTTGGTCATGTCCGGCGCGGGTGTGTCTAGAGAAGCTTTTGCCACCACCAAGTTGCGAAGCGTCTCAGTGTCCTCTGCCAGTGTAGCACAGGCGACAGGGCTCAAACCCTTCCGGCAAGCTCCCGGAAATGCGAAGTCAAGGCAGAACTGCTCTAAGCTCCTTTGTCGTGGTGGAAGGCCGACCAGCTTCTCAAAGCGTGCGGTGAAGAATCGGAAGGAATTCACATTCCTCAGGCGGAGCTGGGGCAACTTTCTGTCTAACGACCTCTGTATGACATGGCAGCAATGCAAGCGATCGGACTCGACTGCGAAGTCACCTTCTGGCACCGGAAATCGCAGCCACTGGGGGTTCACAAAAGAAGCCACCTCGCCGTTGGGAACAACGATGACTGGAATGCTTGAAGCATCTGAAAGCTGTTTGCACCACATCTCTGTGCGACACCACCCACGGCGCAGCCAGCTGGAATAGTTGCAAGGGCCTCCTTCGCCTATCAGGCTGGGGACCAAAGCAACGAAGACTTGGCAAGACTCCACGTAGTGAGGGATTGAGCGAATGTACCTGACCTGATCTTGTGGCTTCACAGCCTCACAGTTCTGGGGCACACAAAAATAGTCATACCAGATGTAAGCATCAAGTAGCTGGTCGCAGTACTCAGAACCGAGTGTGCTGGTCATTCGGTCCCGAAATTGTGACAGACCATTTTCCTGCACCACGATCTCCCTTGTATGAAGCTTTCTCAGCACTGATTGCAAAGCCCGTAGCTGCTCGCCGGTCTCATCGGGGTGCCTCCTACCAAGCCATTCATGGGACACAAAGATCACCAGGCTCTTGGGATCCAAGGTGTCATGGCAAACAAGCATCCCCTTCTCTCTCAACTGCTGGTGGTGCGGCAGTCTGCCTTGAATTCTCAAGGCATCCCGGACCTTCACCACAAACATCGGAGCATGTTGCTCATGGTAGGAGTTTTCCCGGGCGAGGGCGGAGTTTGAACACCCCATGGCGGAGGCCTGGTGCTCAAGATCCGAACTGTGCAAACATGGGCTGGATACACAGAGCCATGAGATTCGGTGAACGCCCCTTTTCTGAGACCTTCAAATTGGGCGCAAGCCTTCATCCAACAAGATCCTTGCCAGGGTCTGAGCCACTCAAGCAAACTGCGAGGTTCGGTCGGAATTGGATAGGCAGCCAAAACCTATTGCTTTGTTTGTTTTAGAAGCAACTGGTGTGCGAAAGCCTGTTTCACGGCATCCCCTTCATCAATGTGGTTCAAGATGAAGGAGCAAAAATTGGATGTCAGCACTTGCTATTGTTCCCTTATTGGGCGTGTGGTTTCGAGCTACAAGCAAATGGTGTTGGCCTTGTCTGATGCAGGCGCAACTCCTCCAGAACTTCCAGGGATACCCGCGAGAAGCCGAAAAGCGGGCCCGACGAAACGGACAAACCCATCAAGAGTCAGGTGCTCCACAATGGAACCTTGCCGAGCAAAAACGGCTCAAGAGCGCTCTCCAGCGATGCGACTGTTGACCCCCGCATTCATTTGGGTATGGGTCAAAATACAACCACCAGGGTCATCCGCAGGTTTTAGTCTTTGGTTCCCTTTACCAGGGTTCCATTTTGGGGTTACCGCATTCTTGACCCACGGCCATTTCAGCTGGTGATTGAAGATTGTCCTCGCCCTCCCAAAGCACCGAGCACCCGCCGATTTCGACAAGCTTTCGGCTGTACTGAATCTATGAGGGGATGATGTTCGTAATGTGGACAAAATCCCCACTGGAACGATTTCTGGATTTCGTAACTATCCACGGGGTTCCAACGAATTCCCTGCCTTCTACGGGAGAAAGGCAAATGAATTCATCGCAATGATCCGACGGAGCCCTTGCCCCAGCTTCTCTGCTTTTTGCTTTCAGGCGTCTCATGCGCGCGGGGGGCTGAGAAGAGGTGCAATCCCGGAAGATGATACTTGAAGGGGCATTGTACTGAGGTTGCGGCATCTTACCATGGTGACAACCCACAAAAAGCGATTCATGGTGAAAATGTTGTTCTTAGGTGGGTTTCTTACCATGGTGAGATAACCCACAAAAAGCGATTGGTGAAAAATGTCTCCGCGTGGCTTATCTCACGACGTACCCGACGTGTCGAGGCGGGTTCGGGCCCCGAACCTCCAGCGCCACACGGGATTGAAAGGCCTCCGAAAAAAAATGGAAAGGCGGGTGCAAGGGGCAGGTGCTTTTTTTTTGTTATAAAGGGGGGGGGGTGTCTTTTAAGGGGGTTGGTTATAAAAGGGTTTTTTTGTTATAAGGGGGGGGTGTTTTTTAAGGGGGTGGTTATAAAAGGGGTTATTTTGTTATAAGGGGGGGGGGGTGTTTTAAGGGGGTTGGTTATAACAGGGGGGTTCGGGGGGGGGGGGGGGTCGGGTGTGTAAATGTGTAAAACAGGAGCAAGAAGGTGTAAGAGGAGTGTTAACGAGGCAGCAAAAGGGATAAGGGAGGGTCTAAGTGGTAACGGCTAGGTCTTGCATGGCCCGTTTGCCTACTGGCTTCCGGAAGAACTTGGTGTGGTGATTCAAGTGGCATCAGCTGTTTCGCCAATTCTTGCGGATACTTAGGGCAGTTGTCCATGTTGAGCGGGCCTGGTGAATCGTTTGGGGACACATTTGACTATCATGACAAACTCAGCTGAACCGTGGCAAACAGACCTACTATTCCATTTCGCTCCTTTCATGGCCTGTTGATGGCACGCCAAGGCCATGTTCATGAAAAACCACAGTGCAACGAAAGGGCTTTGTAGCTCTGTGGCCAACGTTTCACGAAAAGTTTCCATATTCAGGCACGGCGAATCAAAAATCCTCTTGTGGCTTGTTGGTTTGTCCTCCTACATTGCGGAACCCATCAGGGCAAATAGCGGGGGAAAGTATCCCAGGCATCCCAGGCATACTTTCCTTGGTTCCTAGTTCTAGGCTGCTGCCCGTTCTCAACGGCTGTGCCAATTCTTGCAAAGAATAGAACGATAGTGCTAAGAGAATCTTTACTGGAGAAGAGCGAAAACTCGATTCCTTACCAGGCTCAAGCTCTGAAACTATCCATTGCGCACGGCAAGTTCTTGCTCAGGATCTTGTTGAGCCAGTCGAACCGTATTTTTGCAGAAAGCTGAGGAAACATGTTGAGTTGTGCGGGGTTGTTTGACAGGGAAGCCCCCAAAGATACATGAAGCGGGGTGGGTGTTTCTCCAAAAGTGATCCAGATTCCCTCACATGCGGCACTCTATTGATTCCCAGCCTGCTTTAATCTGCAAACACAGTAATTCAAACACCGGAGATTTAAGAAATACGGATTGGACCCCCACGTAAAAGTACCTACATTGTGGTTCTCGCTCGTGCCCCACCCAGCGCACCTCCAAGGGCTGTGGCTCCTCACACGCCCCCACGGGGAACAACAGCCTCGGCGGTGTCACGGGCAACCCCAGTTTGTGGGGTCCCCTCAAACATAAAACATGAATTGTCAAAACAAGAAAGCGTGAGTTCGGAAAAGCTCAAATCAATCTGAAGATTTTCGGGCCAGATGCGTCAGTCATGAAACCGTGGATATTTTGTGTGGCATGCGCCGCACCTTTAGCATCACCAGCATTGCCAGCATTCCCTGCATTGACAGAATCCGAGCATTGCCAGCATTCTCTGCATTGACAGCATTCCCAGCATTCCCAGCAACGACAGCATTTTTTGGATTGGCCCCTTGCCGGGCCCACGTGGATTACACAAGGGCGCAAATAACTAGAATAGGTTGGCTGCTCCGAAACCAACTTTTGTAATCAAGCGGTTCCAGGGACTTTGAGGAGCCTTTAATCATACCGGTAATTGTTTGATAATAGTAATTGTGAAAATTGTTGCCCTATGGTCATGACAAAAACATATTCGAATTACTTGGCAGTGTTTTGGTTGGATTACCCCTTTTCGGGTGGCAAAGTAAAACCAGAAAGAGCACCCACCCATTTAGGGGCCCAACCTTCAAAAAAGTCTGCGTAACTTCAGCTATGTCAGGGGCCCAACCTTCAAAAAAGAGAGGTTTGAAAGGCAACTCGTACGAGTCCATCTAAAAACAAAGAGAACACGACAAAACGAAACAACTCCAGCCATCTTAGGGCCATTAAACAAAACAAAACAAGAAGCACGACGCCGATGCCACGGCCTCGGTGGCTTTCTTTCTTTCTTGGCCATGGGTCAAAATCCCGTACCTGCATCCCAATCCCCACTAAACTAGACTAAAATGGCTGGTGAATTCACCTACCAACCAAAATGGGATCCTTCAAGCGGTCTTGACCACCACAGCTGAAACCCAAATACACCTAACCCCCAAAATGCAATCCTAGGCCATTTACCACCAAAATTTGAGCTTTTTGGGGGGAGGAGCGTTTTTTTTTTTTAATGTACCCAACAAAACACGTGTAACCACCTTTTTCTCGACTCGCAACAAGCTTTTGGCGTCCGGGCCCCACCGAGGGCAGCTTCGCCAGGTCCAACGGGCCCTCCATGGCCCCGCGGCTGCGCGCCAGCGCCTCCGTGAGGAGAGGAGGAGGCGACCGCGGGGGGGGGGGGGGTCCTTGGAAATGGGTGTGGTTCAAAAATCGGATTTGCTCCAAAATGGAACCCTGCAAATGAACACTTTGGATGGGGGGGGGGGTTTTGGAAGAAGACCTCATCAGATGTTGTTTTTGGATGGATGGCTACCTTTTTAAAGGGACTTGTTTGGTGGGCAGGTTAGCGGACACGAGGGTCATTCGTAAACTGGAAAATTGGCCTTTTGACCTGCTTCCGAAATAGATGGAGCATGATTGGAACACGAAAGGCCCACGGATGGCAGGGCGAGCTCAATGGCGAGACATTCCAGTGAAGAGGGGGCTTGGGACTGGACATACTTAAAACAGCCGTTCTCCAAAGCCACCGCCTTTCAGTGAAGAGGGCAGTACTTAAAACAGCCATTCTCCAAAGCAACTGCCTTTGCTTTGGGTTTTCCCGGCCGAAGCACGGGTCTCGTTTCGACCCTCGAGACTCAGGCGTGCGCCGCCCCAGCCAGTTGCCGCAGCAGGCCCTGCACCGGCGCGGCCTTTGGCACCTGGCTGCCCACCTGGCAGGCGCCTTTGCTTCATGTTGCTACTGTGGCCATGGCTCAGAAAACCGGAATTCCAAAATGGAACCCGATCGGTAAGTGGAAACATGGACCAAAATCTGCGGTTTGCCCTGGCTCTTTAATTTTGAGCCGATATGTGGCCATGGCTCAAAACCCAAAAATCCGTACCCCCAGTGAATGGGACCCAACCCCACCACGAAAAATAGGAAGCCTGAAATGGGGGGTGGATTCACCTCTTCCAAATTGGCACCAAAACGGTTTTGAACCATGGCCATATACTGTGGATGGTGGCGAAATCCCATTTCGCAGCTTGTGGGGAGCCCTAAAATGATTTTTCCCTGTTGATACTGGTCTCAGGTTTGCTCTGGCAGGTCTCTCCAAACTGGCAGGGAAGCAAAAATAGGTCCTGCTGTGGAGGGTAGCGAAGTTTCCGTTTCGCACCCCCGTTCAGGAACCCTGGTGCTGTTTGATTCGATTCCCCGTCAAATGCCAAGAAACGATGGTTTCAACCACGGTTTCAAAGTGGTGCGAACGGATTTCGTCCATCCACAGTTGCTTCTTTTTTTTGGGAGGGGGAGGGGGGGTGTACTTCCCTTTTGAGCCATCCCAAACAGCACTTGGTGGAGCCTACACAGGGAGTCTACACAGGTCGGGGAGCTTTGGGAAACCAAAGCCTTCCTCCCACCGGCCTGTGCCCAGGACCCATTTTTTGCCTTCTTCAGTGGCATTTGTGCCACAAAATCGCCGCGCGGAGTGCAAAAAGGGATCGCAAAAGGCAAAAAAAAACACGGGCTGCGTTGCTCCTGTTGTGTCACACAACCCTAAGCAAACAAAAAACACGTGCCAACTCCGAACTCGGAACGATCTCCACGTCCCCCTTCCTCTTCCGCTACACCTCCTCGCCGTTTCGCCGTTGTTTCCTGGCGCCCAGCCTGCATCAGCGCCGCCTTGTCCCCCACCTTCCACCTCTCCGCCTCCGCCGCCACTGGCAGAGGTGGGCCCTCGGGAAAGTCCGGGTCCGTCACCTGCCGGGCTTCCTTTACTTGGCTCGCAGGGAATCACCCTTAACGTTTGGGGCAGTTGGAGGTTATTCCCTCATTCCCTGACCAGCAAGTTTAGGGGATATCCTTCCAAAAGCGAACCTACAAATTCTCTGAAAGGAAATCGCCAGTTGGATGGTTGGGGGTCATTCCCTCATTGAGAACCAGGAAGTTATTTAAAGAGGTCTTCGGGGAAGTTCTGGGGTGTTTCTCAACATGGGGATTCGGACCCTCTTGGGCTTGATCGGGAATCCAGATGCAAACCCTTGCCAGTCCAAAGAAAGCGGACCCCAGTGGTCAGTTTACAAAAGTATCCGGCCTAGGAGCCAGTGGGTTCGGGATCCAAGCGAGAAAAAAACATAGAGCGCAGATGAGCGTGGGTTCTAGAGGGAAACCAGAGCGAAACTAGCATGTCAGGGTTCCAATTTACATTTGGAACAGTCTGAACCATAAATATTGGAGCTGTTGGCCTAGTTTATGGCAAAAAAAGAAAACAGGGGAGCGAACGGGGCAGAGAAAACCAAGCTGCGAGAAGCGGCGGGTGTTCCGGCGGAGGTCACAACTCACTCCTGCAATCTGCAAAGGGCACCACCAGTTCCGAGGCCATTGCTTCACAAAACGCACTCAAAGGGCGTTGCCATCTGACCCAACTTGCAAAGAATTGTTACACCTCTGCGAAAGTAGATGACACGGGCAAGCAAAGGGATGAAGCCAAAATGGAGGAAAGCCATCTCCTTTCATGCGAAACGCGGGGGCAGCTGTCACCGGGCAGGCCTGGCAGCCCATGACAAGCAGGTTGCGACGACTTGCCACTCGTGGCAAACCCGAAAAGAAAGGTCTTCGCCATGGTTTCCAAGCGGTGCGAACGGATTTCGTCCACCCACAGTAGAGGGCTATCCCAAAAAGTGCGAATCGGATTCTCTTCCCAGGTGAATCAGGAGATTACACTGAAAGTTCAGGATGCCTAAAGGATCGGAGGGAAGTTCCAGGGTTCTTTTCAAGGCAAAACAGCTTCCCTACCAGGAACCCAGCGGAATCGGAAAATGGGCCCTGTCAGGGACCGGTCAGGTTCCATAGTCAGCTTCGTTTTTAGGTGTCTCTGTGTGTGTGTGTGTGTTCGCTGCTGGGCACCTTTCGTTGGGGCTTCTGAGGGGAAGCCAAAAGGAAACCACCGTTTTGGAGGGAAATTCTGTAAGACACACCTGGTCACCTAATTGGGGCTTTGGAGCCCGGTTTGGAATTTAAGGGATAGGAACCCCTACCCTCCAGAACCAGAGCAAAAAGAAACGATCTAAACCACCAAGTAATTAAGGCTTGCCTGACTACTTAAGGGGGCAGGGTACTTAGTAACTGGTTAGCAAGCCTGGTTATAACTCACTGAACAAAAGCTTATAACCAGGGTATATAAGTGGGTTATAACCATGGTTCTTACCCACTAAGTACGATGGGTAATTCAGGTCAGCCTCAAAACCAATGGGCTGGCGAGCCCATGGCTATCCAAAAGCTGCGGCAGAGCCTGAGCCTCTGACCCGTCCAAGGGGTGAGCTTGGGAATAGCACTCTGACTTCAAGACAAGCTCCCCCCCCCCCCGTTGACCCGTTGAGAAGCCCTGTGTCTACGGCAATTTGCGGCCCCCCAAGCCACTGGGCAGCAAAGCGCCCAGCTCGTCGCCTCCACCAGCGCCAGCTCCGGCTTCCGGGGGTGCTGGATCACCTCCAGGACCTCCACCTCTTGGCATGGCTCCTCTTTGGCCCCCCACTCCCTCAAAACGAAGGGTGCCCACGTCTTCCCCGCCCCCCAAAAAAAAGAAAACAGGGAGAGAGGGGGCCATCAAAGCAGTCAGAACCAGGTGTGCCGCTCCCATGGCTTGGGGTTGAGCGGTGCCGGGCGCAAAGACCTAGCCACGCAGACGAAACCGCCACCACATCTGGTCAGCTTGCAAGCCGCAACCATGGTCTGCGCGCCGATGTTCAGGAAAACCCTACTGGGGTTGATATGTTGACAGTTCCTGGGGGTATCCAAGTCAGTGACTGTGTTGTGTCCCTTTCTTCTACCAAGGACGTGATTCTGGTGGCAAAATGAAGAAGACTCTAGAAGCTTTCATTATGTGAAAGGGCTAGCCTCGATGAAAACACGCACTTATGAGAACAGTTCATTGTATCCCTTGAAACCAACCTCAAGAGGGGTGCCGAGCCCCAAAATAACAAACGCTTCAGCCCAACCCCCAGGTTCCGGCAGAGGCCTCTGCCAAAAGCTTGCGCTGGGCCACCTACAAAGAGCTGCCGAACCGCCGTTTAGACGCGCTCTGTGAGATAGTCACCAGATGCATTGGATGTGGGGTTACTTTTTGCGGTTGTCCAGAAAAGCATGGTCGTTAGATACATTGGCTTTTGTCTCAATAACAAGAAGCGGTCAAACATAAAGAACCACCCGAGGTCTTCATTGAACATCGCTGTCAAAAAAGCCTGCCATGTCGGATCGCGCTGAGGGACATGTGTGAGAGACCAACGGAAGGAAATGACTCCTGATTGTTTACCGGCAACATGTGGGTTTGGTGTTGGGCCAGGGAAACCAAAAGAAGTTGCCAACCATCTTGGGGTCAAAAGGAGAAGCTGGGAAAATACTGGGCTGTCCAAACTGATCTCCTGCAAAAAGTTTAAGTTTAAAAAAAGAAACACTAAACCAACCACAAACAACAAAAAGCCTACTTTCAAAAAAAAAAAAAACTAAACCAACCACAGACAACAAAAAGCCTACTACTTAAAAAAAACTAAACCAACCACAAACAACAAAAAGCCTACTATTAGAAAAATAAGAAGAAAAAACACTAAACCAAACACAAACAACAAAAAGCCAACTTAACAAAAAAAAAAAAAAGGACTTCTGGGAACCCCACGATTCGTTTTTGGAACCCCGCCTCCTTGGCTTGCTCCACCGGCTTCGCCGCCACGGCCGCGGAACAGCGTTTTGACACCTGCACGGCCAGTTGGGTCGAAAAACGGCCTCCAACCTCAAAGGCGCATTTTGCCAAGGGATGTTGGGACGGACTGAACAACTTTTTGCCCAATAACCATCCAACCTCGAAGGCGCATTTTGCCAAGGGATGCCAAGGGACTGAACAACTGTTTGCCCACTAACCATCCAACCTCAAAGGCGCACTTTGCCAAGGCATGCTAAGGGACTTAACAACTTCTTGCCCACGAACCATCCAACCTCAAAGGCGCATTTTGCCAAGGGATGCCAAGGGACTGAACAACTTCTTGCCCACGAACCATCCAACCTCAAAGGCGCATTTTGCCAAGGGATGCCAAGGGACTGAACAACTTTTTGAACACTAACCATCCAACCTTTGGTGCATTTTGCCAAGGGATGCCAAGGGACTGAACAACTTTTTGCCCACTAACCATTCAACCTCAAAGGCGCATTTTGCCAAGGCATGCCAAGGGACTGAACAACTTTTTGCCCACTAACCATCCAACCTCAAAGGCGCATTTTGCCAAGGGATGTTGGGACGGACTGAACAACTTTTTGCCCACTAACCATCCAACCTCAAAGGCGCATTTTGCCAAGGGATGTTGGGACGGACTGAACAACTTTTTGCCCACTAACCATCCAACCTCAAAGGCGCATTTTGCCAAGGGATGTTGGGACGGACTGAACAACTTTTTGCCCACTAACCATCCAACCTCAAAGGCGCATTTTGCCAAGGGATGTTGGGACGGACTGAACAACTTTTTGCCCACTAACCATCCAACCTCAAAGGCGCATTTTGCCAAGGGATGTTGGGACGGACTGAACAACTTTTTGCCCACTAACCATCCAACCTCAAAGGCGCATTTTGCCAAGGGATGTTGGGACGGACTGAACAACTTTTTGCCCACTAACCATCCAACCTCAAAGGCGCATTTTGCCAAGGGATGTTGGGACGGACTGAACAACTTTTTGCCCACTAACCATCCAACCTCAAAGGCGCATTTTGCCAAGGGATGTTGGGACGGACTGAACAACTTTTTGCCCACTAACCATCCAACCTTTGGTGCATTTTGCCAAGGGATGTTGGGACGGACTGAACAACTTTTTGCCCACTAACCATCCAACCTTTGGTGCATTTTGCCAAGGGAAGTTGGGACGGACTGAACAACTTGTTGCCAACTAATTAGTGGGCTTTCCAAAGAACAAATAACGCTGGAATGTTCCCTTGGATGGACCAAATCCATTTCGCGGCACCTAAGAAGCCCTGGCATGATGAGCACCCTGTACATACCAACAACCAATGGTATGGCTTCAAAGTGGTGCGAAGTGGATTTCGCAACCATCCACAGTAGGTCTCCAACATGGGCTCGCTCTTCCCGTCGGGAACTTCTGGCACCACTTTTGTGAGAAAAGTTCTTGGCAGCCTCTGAAAAGGCGACTCTGGTTCAGGTGTGGCTCTACCTGTTTCATGTTGGATACCTACTGTACTTGGAAATCATGGTTGAAACCATAGTTTGTTGGTATTTACAGGGGAATCGAACCATTCCAAGGTTTCTTGGGTGGTGCGAAATGGAAACTTCGCCCCTCCACACTAGTGAGGGTTATGCCAACCTTCATGGCCACGGAAGACGGGGGGAGTAAGGAAAGTGGGAGGCCCAGCGAAGCGCGCGAAGCAGATGACACGGCAATGTGTCCGACATTTCCAAGGGTTGAGAGAAGCCACTGAAACCCAACCGCGCAAAAGGGAAAATCCGGAGGACGGAGAAGGACAAAACCTCCGCAATGGTCTGCACCAGGCGTTCCCGGACCCGAAGTGGTCTGCACAAATGAATTGGGCCAAACCAACGAGGTGGCTGCGAGCATGGGGGTCAATCCGCCAATGGGTTTTACGGCAGAGAGGGGGGGTGGTGGACTGCTGGGGCAACTCAATTTGCAGAGTGGCTCGCCTCTTTTCTCGGGTTGCCCTTTTGGAATTGAAGCATTTCTGTTTGGAGGCTTCCCTTCGGCCCTTGACCAAAACTTCTCGGAGTTTTACCCAACTTGTGGGTCAGCTTGTTCGCCGGGATGTGGACCGCAGGATTTAGCCGCATGTTTTTACATCCAGGGCAGCCAGTCTCCACATGCAGTTCACAATATGTTTGTTCAGAGTCCCTGTAAGGACAGTACCAGTTCATTCCGATGCCCTTGCAAAGCAGAAGCTTTTCCTCGGCACCAGAAAACAAACCTAATATGGATATGCATCTTTTTGAGGCAACTACCCCCCACCCCTTTTCGGGGTCTTTACGGGGAAAACCAAAAGTCGAGCCCATTCTTTCCAGACATCCGAATCTTTTTGGGAAACCATCAAAAACCCAGGGGAAACAGATCCGGCTTTTGAAAAGAACGATGCTTGAAAAGAATTGAAAAGGAATCCACCCCTCGAAAAAAGAAAAAAAAAGGGTAAAACCGTTGTGCCCTTTTGGGTGGTTTAACCTAGACGAGCCAAAAGGGAGCTCTCCCTCAGGCCTTGGAGCCGCTGCGCCTCCGGATTTTCGCTTGGAAACCGCGGGGTGTGGTGCATTCGTTCGGCTCCCTGCGGGTTTCCCTTTAAACGAAAGGCGGTAAAAAAAAAAAACAGCCAGATGTGGGTCTCTCTTTTTGGGAGTCGCGAGGTATGCGATCCTTTTGGCCGGCTCCAGGGGACTCCAAGACGAAATTGCCAGTTTCTGGGTTACGAATCCTTTGAGACAAACCCACATCGGATGAATTCCACGGTTGCCTTTCCAGTGAAAGCCGCTGGAACGCGATGGCGAAATGAAAGCGCCGAGTACCAAAATGTGAGGGTCGTTTTACGTCGCTTGAGGCGTTTGCCATGTTTTCTGAGAAGAGGAACTGTGGCCGGCTGGAAATGTATGTGTGCGTGTGTGAAGGAGTGCTGAAAACGAAAAGGAGGTGTGTTGGGGTATACGATCCCAATGAGCAGCAAATGTGCCACTGCAAGCACTAGTGCTGCCGATTGGCCGCCACATGCACCAAGCAGGCGCCACACTTTTAGCAGCGCACCCTCCAAAACTGACCAACTGCTCGTATCTAAAATGGTTTCCACTACCCCCAAACCACTACCCCCAGTGGTTTAACCTGAGGGTAGTGGTTTGGGGGTAGTGGAAACCATCATAGATCCGAACTGTCAAACTGTGATTCGCCAGCTGGAGATAATGAAACGGACGGGGCTTCCTGGCAGAGTAAAGGACTTTGATCATGGGTGGAGTCATTCGGAATTTCTACCGCGGATCCGTTTCTCTCATTGCGTGTGCAAAATCAAATGGGTCAAAACAAAACCAAACCTAACTAGGTTTATGGTAATCACCCACTGTGAAAAAACTGGGAAACTGGCCGTAATGATATTTGCTTCACTCAAATTAAGCAAATGGTTCTCTGGTATCATGGAAGTGAGAGAGCAACATGGAGGGTCACAGGCCCCCTTAGCGCAAAGTAGCTTCCAAAAGTCTAAAAAACCTCAACAAGTTTGTAGGCGAGAGGGTACGAAAACCAAAGCCCCCCTTTCCAGCCTCGCCCGCTGAACGCAAAGACATGGGACCACCGCGGCCAGCGGCAGGTGAGTGGCACCTGAGGGCACTGCACCACCAGTTGGGCGGGGAGGGCAAAAAGTGCTGGTGCTCTTTTGGTGTTTGATGGAGCAGTAAGCATGACTCACCAGTGGTCAACTTCAGCTATGAGCTGGCACTGACAACCATTGAGTGTTGGAAACCTGCTTGGAGAAGCCAAACGGAAACCAACCACCTGCAGACTGTTTTCCTGTGAGACACACCATGTGAGTTGCACCAAAACCATTGCACTTGTGCCTGGATGGTCCGGCAAGCTAAGTAAGCAACCCCCATTTCACCCTCCCTACAATCATGGACGCTGACCGGAGGGCTTGGACTATGTTCCATTTGGGGGAGCCTCCCCAAAACCTTCACTTCCATCGGTTGGTAGGCAACGCTATAGCAGCCCACTTAACTTCCGGGCACTCTCAGACCGAAATACTCACTTCCTGAGTTGACTGGCCAGAAAAACAGTACCCAAACTTTTGGCCCAAGCCACGAAAACAACTTCAACCAAGCCCAAAAAGTGGCTCCAAAGTTTAATGAAACCCCCTCCCCGTGCCTGTCCATCGCCTCGGCTGCCGCTTCAGCCTCGACCCCCGCAAAGGGCTTGCCACCGAAGCGGAGACGGAGGCAGCCGCCCCTGGAGTCCCGAGACGCGAGACGAGGAGCGCGGAGCGGGGAAAGCGGAAGGTGGGGTGGAAGTCGACAAGCCAACCAACCAACCAACCCACCGACCGACCGACCGACCGACCAACCAACCAACCAACCCACCGTCTGACCGACCGACCGACCGACCGACCAACCAACCAACCAACCAACCAACCAACCCACCGTCTGACCGACCGACCGACCGACCAACCAACCAACCCACCGACTGACCGACCGACCGACCAACCAACCAACCAACCAACCCACCGTCTGACCGACCGACCGACCGACCAACCAACCAACCAACCCAGCGTCTGACCGACCGACCGACCGACCAACCAACCAACCAACCCACCGTCTGACCGACCGACCGACCAACCAACCAACCAACCCACCGTCTGACCGACCAACCGACCGACCGACCAACCAACCAACCAACCCACCAACCAACCAACCGACCGACCGACCAACCAACTAACCCACCGTCTGACCGACCGACCGACCGACCAACCAACCAACCAACCAACCCACCGTCTGACCGACCGACCGACCGACCAACCAACCAACCAACCCACCGTCTGACCGACCGACCGACCGACCAACCAACCAACCCACCGTCTGACCGACCGACCAACCGACCGACCAACCAACCAACCAACCCACAGACTGACCGACCGACCGACCGACCGACCAACCAACCAACCAACCAACCCACCGTCTGACCGACCGACCGACCGACCAACCAACCAACCAACCAACCCACCGACTAACCGACCGACCGACCAACCAACCAACCCACCGTCTGACCGACCGACCGACCGACCAACCAACCAACCAACCCACAGACTGACCGACCGACCAACCAACCAACCAACCCACCGTCTGACCGACCGACCGACCGACCAACCAACCAACCAACCCACCGTCTGACCGACCGACCGACCGACCAACCAACCAACCAACCCACAGACTGACCGACCGACCGACCAACCAACCAACCAACCAACCCACCGTCTGACCGACCGACCGACCGACCGACCAACCAACCAACCCACAGACTGACCGACCGACCAACCAACCAACCCACCAACCAACCAACCCACCGTCTGACCGACCGACCGACCAACCAACCAACCAACCCACCGTCTGACCGACCGACCGACCGACCAACCAACCAACCAACCAACCAACCCACAGACTGACCGACCGACCGACCGACCAACCAACCAACCGACTGACCGACCGACCAACCAACCAACCAGCCCACCGTCTGACCGACCGACCGACCGACCAACCAACCAACCAACCCACACACTGACCGACCCACCGACCGACCAACCAACCAACCAACCCACCGACTGATCGACCGACCAACCAACCAACCAACCCACCGACTGACCGACCGACCGACCGACCAACCAACCAACCAACCCACCAACTGACCGACCGACCGACCGACCAACCAACCAACCAACCCACCGACCGACCGACCGACCAACCAACCAACCAACCAACCAACCCACCGACTGACCGACCGACCGACCAACCAACCCACCGTCTGACCGACCGACCGACCGACCGACCAACCAACCAACCAACCAACCAACCCACAGACTCACCGACCGACCAACCAACCAACCAACCCACCGTCTGACCGACCGACCGACCGACCAACCAACACCAACTGACCGACCGACCGACCGACCAACCAACCAACCCACCGTCTGACCGACCGTCTGACCGACCGACCGACCGACCGACCGACCAACCAACCAACCAACCAACCCACAGACTGACCGACCGACCGACCGACCAACCAACCAACCAACCCACCGTCTGACCGACCGACCGACCGACCAACCAACCAACCAACCCACCGTCTGACCGACCGACCGACCGACCAACCAACCAACCAACCCACAGACTGACCGACCGACCGACCAACCAACCAACCCACCGACTGACCGACCGACCGACCGACCAACCAACCAACCCACCAACTGACCGACTGACCGACCGACCAACCAACCAACCAACCCACCGACTGACCGACCGACCAACCAACCAACCAACCCACCGACTGACCGACCGACCGACCAACCAACCAACCCACCAACTGACCGACCGACCGACCGACCAACCAACCAACCCACCGACTGACCGACCGACCGACCAGCCAACCAACCCACCAACTGACCGACCGACCGACCGACCAACCAACCAACCAACCCACCGACTGACCGACCGACCGACCGACCGACCAACCAACCAACCCACCGACCGACCGACCGACCGACCAACCAACCCCACGAACTGGCCGACCGACCGACCAACCGACCGACCCAACCAACCGACCGACCGACCGAACAACCGACTGACCGACCGACCGGCCCACCATCCAGCCGACCGACCGACCGACCGACCGACCAACCAACCAACAGCCACATTGGCCACAAAAGGTTTGTCGGGCCTTGACTCAAATGGGTGAGGAAAAGGTCCGGTAAACATGGGATGACCATGGGCTAAACCACCAGGAAAGGCGACTTTCATCACTAAATGAGAAAAGTGATCGATGGCCATCTTGGAGCCAGGAATATTGAGCAATCCCCGAATATAGAAACCCACCAAAGCAGGTTTAAAGTTTGCCAACTCGGGCTTGACAAACTCGGAAAGGCGACATCAATTTGCCTCATCTTTAACCTGCTTTGAAAGAGGCCGTGCTCCGTGCCATAGCACAGTCCCATGGCTCCAACTCATCGAAACCATACTGACGGCGCGCCTTGTTGGTTTTTTCTGCTTGTAACTTGTTTCCTTTTTTTGGGAGGGGGGGGGGACTCTTTTTTGGTTCTAAAGGCAAACCAAAAGGAAGTCTGCAATGCTATTTTGTGAGTCACACGGAATGATTTAAAAAAAACACACACACACACACACACGGCACGATGGGCAACACCCGAAAGGTTCCACTGCCTCGGGGCCAGCTCGGCACGAGCATGGCGGAATTGTGACGCGCAGGCGAGCCAGAAACGTCCAGTCGGTTGCTGTGGCTGCTGCGTGTTGCTGTCTGTTCTGGGATAACGTCCAACCAATCTCTCCAGGGATTTGAATCCTTCCATAAAAAAGGGGAAAAGAAAAGAAGAAAAAACAAACGACGACGGGTGACTTTGAAAAAGGACAGTTGCAGAAAATGAGAATCAGCCCTAGAACTGTTGACGATCTTTGATGATTTAGCGGCATCCTCGTCTAGGCCACTGCTTTGTTGCGGACATGTCCTGCTGGCACTTGCCAGAGTGAAGTAGTAGGAATCTAGCGCTCTCTTTCGCTCTCTCGTCCGACATCATAGCATGCAACGTACAACGCGAGGGTGGGTTGCGTGGCAAAATCACGAGGCACAAACAGTGTCAGCGGACCTGAATCCCATTGACTTTGCCTCTAGCGATTTCATAAGTCGTAAAATGCGTGCCGCTCAAGTGCACCTCCTGATGTTCATCCACCTCACCCATCGGCAGCCCAGCGCTTCCAAGCCACGCGCAAGCGGAGGCGCGCAAAGACGTCAAGCCGCCGGGCCCAAAGGAAGACGTGGCACCTTTCTCGAAAAGACCAAAAATGTGCGGGATTCTGGAAGTCAACTAAGACGCGTCAACCAGGTTAATAATGTGGGCTCCCTGCTGGATTTGGTGCCAGCAACCGGCTGGCACGGCCCAGACCATAGAACTCTCTGACACCCGGACGAAGAACAAGTCAAACGAACACCATCCCAACAAAGTCCCCATGCTTCTAGGGGTCGATTCCTTTTCCATTCTTTTCAGCCATCGTTCTTTTCGAACACCGGATCCATTTCCTCGGATTTGTTTGGCGGCTTTCTGGAAAGAGTCGGATCCCTGGGGTTAAGAACGGACATGGAAGTTGCCAGAATGCTGACAGAAGCCGGCGCGGAGGTGCGGTGCATTAGACGGAAATTCCAGACGCCTGCGTCACTGAGGTCACTGGAATGACGCATTTCGCGCCAAATGAGCCACGGGATTCACTGTGTCCAACTAACATCCGATGTTGGTGAGTGACCCCTGTTTCACCTGAAGAATTGGTTCGTGTGTCTAACATCAGCCCTTTACTACAATAGATGATGTTCATGGATTTCTGCCGCTGAAAACTTCCGATAAGCTCGAGATTACTTCTGCAAAGCCATTTTGCTGTCATGCCACGGGTTCAAAATTATTCCCCTATTGGACACAGGCAAATTAGCATTGTCCCTGAACGTTTGCTTTGAAGTTTCGTGAGTGCCCCATGCGCCTCCCAAATCGACCTCAAACTGGACATGTCCCAGAGAACCTTGCATGCGCGCAGAGGAGCTCGATCTAAGCACGAAGTGGATGCTTGGCCAAGCCGTCACACCTTGGATCCGCCTCTGATTCGTGGCCCGATGCCCCAAAAAAAGGAGAACTAAGTTTTGTGGAATCCGCCTGATAGCTTCCTTTTGCATGGATCAGTACCATGTGTCCAAAGCTAAGTGGCACAGAAACTATGAGTTTCAGCATGACAGACAACCTTTGAAGACAGGAGAAAATCAAGACATGGCTCCAGGCCCAAAAATTGCCGCTGACTCATGCACGGCCTGGATTGGCTATCTATGGGCCTGGTGGAATCTCTCAAAAGTCGAGCCCTCGATTTCAGCATCTTGAGCCATGGGCCATGGCGAAACGAGCCATGGCCCTTGTTGCTGTCTCAGCTTCGATTTTCCTGCCTCTAGTTTTGGCTCACTTGGGCTCTTGAATGAAAGCAAAAGGAAAGTGACAGGGATCGCCAATTCCAAGGGGGGGACGAGTGCTATCCGAAAATTCACCACAATCCTCCTGATGCCCTGCCTCAATACAATCAGGAAGCCTTGAGAGCCGCGGTTACCTTTCAAGAGGCAGTACCATCCTACTTGACGCTGACAAGTAACAAATAACCACGCTGAAACCTGTGGAATCCATGGAATTTCACCCAAATTGACCTGGGATGGTCAAACTGGAAAGTTACCAGCCCTCGCGCCGATTCAGGCCACGTCCTCCTGCTCCTCTTGCTCCTGGAGCTGGAAGTTTGTCACAGGAAAAGTTTGCCGCACCAAAATCGAGAATTGCTGTGGGTGGCTGGCGAAATCCGCTTCGCAGCACTGTTCAGAAACCCTGTCAATGTCAACAAAGCATTGTTTCTGCCGTGGTTTCATAGTGGTGCGAACGGATTTCGTCCATCCACAGTATGCAAGGAGACAATCCTTTTATATTAGTCACAACCCAGATCATGACCGAAGTGGGTTGAACATGGAAGTTGGCCTCAAGGATCCCAGCAACAGGTCTGACTCTTCGCCGAGCGGACAATCAGCACAGAGATTCGAACAACAAGGTCTATAATGTTCATTCGTCGAATGGACTCGCTTCCTGAGTGGATTCGACGAGCAAAGTCCGAACCTTATTTTGCCACTAAAATGGTCTTCCCAAAAGTACAAAGTCCAGGAACTTAGGGAGTGAGTTGATCCTATTCGTTGTACACACAAATGTCGTGTGTGTGCCGTAAGGTTGTGATGGTGGCTCAAGTGACCAAACCTCAGCGGTTGAGTCACAGGGAGCGATACGGGAAGTAACTCGCGTGCTTCTCTGGTACCAGGTCTCTCCAAACTGGAACAAGGGAAGCAAACATAGGGGTCGCGCTGTGGATGGACGAAGTTTCCATTTCGCACCACTTAAGAAACCCTGGAATGATGGTTCCCCTGTAATCACCAACAAGCAATGGTTTCAACCATGGTTTCAGAGTGGTTCAAACGGATTCCGTCCACCCACGGTATCCTGGAAAAGGGAAACCAAAGGAATTCAAAACCAAGTTCCGCCCTTGAGCTTTGATCACTTGGAGCTGCGGGTTGGTATATACCCAAAAGCCATATCCTCGCTTGTACAACCCATTCTGCCCTCAGTCCGGGATTCTTCGTCCAGCACCCTGGTCCCCACTTCAGATTCATAACCGTATGGAGTGGAGTGTTGACCCGCTTTGGCATAGTGTCATTGCCGCCTTTAGGCTTCAAGGGTCGCGAAAGGGCGGCTGCCTGACTCGTAGTTTGGGAGCTTAGTTGAGTTCAGCAGAATGATAGCCGAGTCATTGGTTTAGAGCCGGCGATTCAAGCGGTCCACCCAAAACAAATGAAAAGAATCAAAAGGGCGGCCACGCCTATGTTGGGCACTGTCCCCTACTCAATTTCGTCCGCCCAGGTTTCTGATTGCGGCTCAGTTGAGCAGTGGGGTCGAATTGTGAATGGTAAACCCGAAAATGAAAAAAATGGGCGGCTTCCCCTTCTAAAAATGAACATCAAAGAGAGGGAACGCTCGGAAAACGACTTACTTATTTGGGTGTGGGCTCCAAATTCAGCAGGAGGGGTTACGCAGGTTTTGGTCCATGTTTCCACTTACCAGGGTTCCATTTTGGTACCGGTTTTTTGAGCCGCAGCCCTTTGCCACATCAAGGTCCCTGAGTCAAGAGCCGCCTCTCTTTCTTGAGCCGCTCTGATGGAGGAACCCATGCTGTCTGGGGCACAGGCAGCTTAGGCTGGCGAGTGTCAAGCGTTAGGCTGACCAAACCGAAGCACGCCTCAGGGGCCATTCCTCTAGGCCGACAGGTTATGATTTTTCAGTGGAGAGGGGCGTGGACATCAGAAATCCATGGGGGGTCAGGTCCGAGCATGAGGGAGGCTTAGTAAGATCCCTTGCCACTTTTGAAGACTTCGTGTTCTTTTGGAGGGAAGGGACACCTCGCGCCTCAGCTGCCGCGGGCTTATGCACAAGCGGGTGCCCGAAAATTGGGAGAGGACCGGCCCTTTGCGCTGAGCGGTGTTTTCACGATGGTTCCTGGACTGCCCACTCAGGCGGATAGGACAGCCGTGCAAGCCAAGGCATTTGGAGGGATCGTTTTCTTTTTCCCCTGGCTATTTGTTGCAGAGGTCCGATTCCCAACTTTCGGACACTTTGCTACGAAGGCTCCTTTCCACGGACCCGGACAGACCTGAGCAGATGCTTCCTGTGCAAGTTGCCTCCATGGGGATGCCAACAAGACGTCTACATCCAAACAATGAGGGGATGCCACCCTACACATGAAACCTAAAAGAAGGTTTTGCGGAGATGGTTTTACAAGGAGATTCCTCTCAAACATGAGGGTCAGGCATGAAAGTTGACATCCCCGGTGGGAAGTCAGTGAATTCGAATTTCCACTGGCAGGCCGTTAGGCCGGCGTCAGGTCAAAGCATCTTCAGCCCTGGTGGTGGTGTTTAAAGGGAACCCCTTCCAAGAGAAACGAAAAGGCCACTGGCAGTACCACTGGAGGTGGGATGGTTCTTCCCCTTTTGGGACATTTTGGGACCCAACACGCTGCTTGACCTGCTCTTCGGCCCTCTATTGACCGCTAGAGATCGTCGTCATCATCTTCTATGGGCACGTTGGTGGCCCGGGCCAAATCCAGCTCAGCTTGCCTGGCCGCAGCAGCCGCCATGTTGAAATATAGTACTTCACCAACCGGAAACAAGGGACCCGCAAGAAATGGAA